GTGCTCGTGGGGATTAAATCAAATTGCTGTATCTGGAGATCATGTGCATCACCTTCCAGAAACAGCTACCAACTTGTTTTTTTTTTGAAAAAAAAATCTTAGCATGCGGAAGCTTGTTCCTATACCTTGTTCTGTAGATTAATAAGGCTGCAGGTTAGTATCTGGGGTATGGCATCACATTCAATTTGTACTTGCTATGTCAATTTGACCTGATGGCATGATTTCTGGGGATTCTCGTGCAAATTGGTACGAGGATGTCATACCCTCAGCTTCATTTTAGTGGTCCGTTGAACATGATGACCGAGCTTCATTTCATTTATAAATTAATGCTTTTCCATTGAACTGATTCACCTTCTTTTGATCTTACAGATTCTTTTCAGTGAATGGCTTCGAGAAAGGCTCCCATTGGAAGCACACGGTAGCAAACAAAGAGCATACAGCGGTGAGTTTAAATTTGTCCCAATTTATTTATATACTAGTCTTAAAGTTCACAAAAATTGATAGAAATGTTGATTTATTATATCCGGTTTTGGCATATGATAAGAGAAATACACATCAAACTACAAATCATTGCTGTCCTCTGAGCTCCGATGTGTATGGTATGTTGAATGTATTGATACTTGAGTTATGTCTTTTGTTTTATTTGCATTTTCTCTCGGCATCCAATGACAAAACAGGATTTGAGTAGTCCAACCACTAACTACAAAAACTAAAGCTCGACGGTCGTTTACTTGAAGTTCACACTGATTTTAATTTGTTGACATGGCATATATGCCCTTGCGATTGGTTTAGTTGGTGCAGAAAGGGAAGTTGCCGCAACTGCTGGAAATTGGAAGTGAACGGAGCAGGAGCCAAGGAAAGGTGGTGTTAGGAGTTAGGACCGAGGGGGAAGCCAGGCCATGGATCAGGGATGTGCCCAATGGAATCCAGGGGGAGCATGTCGCGGCAGGGTGGCCGAGATGGCTCATGGAGGTGGCAGTAGATGCGGTTCGTGGGTGGCAGCCTCGGAGGGCAGACTCTTTCCAGAAGTTGGACAAGGTTTGTTATTATGATGGCCATTACTTTTGCAACAAATTTGTCACCATCCTTGCTACCTTTTTCATTAGCTATCTTCATGAGTTATTGCCTATGGGCATTGTTATACTGTTTTTAGGTGGTTGATTATTTAATGGCAATAGGATATTCTGATAGGTGTTGAACTCAACATGTTACTGGGGCTCACAGAATTTTCGTAATGTCATTCTTGAGGGTTTGGAGCAGTTAAAAAGGAAAACGGATTGCAACACTAGAAACACATTGCGCTCACACCCGATTCCCCATTTGGATGTCAAAATGAAATTTATTTTGTATCACCGGGTCGCGCCATTCCATTTTTGGCATAAAATGCATAACAAAATACACAAAGTAGGCAAACAAGACACACACCGCCTTGATCAATGCTGCTCCTGCTAGACAACTTCTTTAGCACATTTAATAAAACCACTTTCTACTTTTTTATAATAGAATAGAACACAACATTTTTTCCTCGAACATGCAGTAGAGCTGTGTATCGTCATTTTATTAAGAAGAAAGATAAAATGTACAAGGGTGGGGGCAGAGACATGTTCAGTTCAACACTATTGTGTGTAACAACCACAGAAACATTTGGCCTTGCACCATTATTGAATATGCAACCATTCCTGAATACAATTGGAGCTATAGTATCGAACCACCTTTAAAAAAAACATCATATGTGATCTCAATTTTCTCATTTCATATTTAAATATTTTAGACCCGACAAGGTACGCATAGTAGCACTTACAAAGCCCGTGATCTTGAGAATGGAAAATTTGTGGCTCTGAAGAAAGTACGGTTTGACAATATGGACCCTGAGAGTGTCCAATTTATGGCAAATGAAATTCACATCTTAAGAAAGCTTGATCATCCAAATGTCGTGAAGCTTGAAGGTCTGGTGCCAACATGGAGAGGCTTGTATCTTGTATTTGAATACATGGAGCATGATCTTGCTGGACTCTTGGCTACACCTGGCTTCAAATTGACAGAGCCTCAGGTTTACCCTCTAGATTTGTTCTTTAGCTTTCCATTTTCAAAAGATTTCCATTGTAATGAGGTTTTAAGTTCTAATAACTTCGAATAATGGATGGTCATTTCAGGTGAAGTGTTTCATGCAACAACTACTTTCTGGACTTGACCATTGTCATAACCGTAATGTGTTGCACCGGAATATAAAGTGTGCAAGTCTCCTACTTGACAATAATGGCATTCTGAAAATAGCAGATTTTGGTCTAGCTACATTCTTTAATCCCAACCAAAATCAACGTTTGACAAGTCGTGTGGTAACATTGTGGTACCGGCCTCCTGAGCTTTTGTTGGGTGCTACTAACTACGGCACTGCTGTTGATCTATGGAGTGCCGGTTGCATTCTTGCTGAGTTGTTGGAAGGGAAGCCTATCATGCCAGGACGAACTGAGGTACTGTTTGGCCATTCTTGTTGCGATCAAACTTGCAGATGTTTGCATATAAGAATGATGCTATATTTTCTACCTACCGTAATTCTAAGAATGCTATAATATTTATGTGAATCTTTTCTTTTATTACACTATTTGTTAGAACAAATTTGGTGCAAAAGGTTTAGAAGATGAATGCGGGTAAGTTCCTTTGATTACTTGGACAGTGAAGGGCATTTTCAGTTGAGAATCTAAACACATCAAGGAAAATGATATAATGTTTGGCTCAAGATGCCTATAGTTTATGCATTAAGACATTGTTAATGTTTTAATATATATATATATCTGCCAATTATTATTAACATTCATAAAGGTTTTGTGATAATAGGCCTAATTTTACTTTGGCATGACCAATTCATACCAATTTAAAGTAATATTATTTATAACTTTTTATCTTCAAGATAAATGATCAATTTATTTGCCATACATCTTGGTAGTTTTAAATTTTTTATCAATATGATTTGCAATGATCGATTCTTTTGTGTTAACTCATTCAGGTAGAACAGCTGCACAAGATTTTTAAGCTTTGTGGTTCACCATCAGAGGAGTTTTGGGCTAATTTGAAGTTATCCCGAGTTACCATATTCAAGCCTCAGCATCCGTACCGCCGATGTGTGAATGATGTATATAAGGACTTCCCTACTACTGCTTTAACACTTCTGGACCATCTACTTGCTGTAGAACCTGGGAATAGGGGTACAGCTGCATCTGCCCTTGACAGTGAAGTAAGTATTGGCCCTTACATTTCTTGATGTGCATCAACCTGTTATCGCTTTAAATCTATAAAGCGGGGGAAACCTTTTATTCAAAAAAAAATCTTCTCTTTGTTTTCTCAGCACATATTCCACCAGAAGTATGTCATGATCCCATCAAATTTTCTTCTTTGTGTTTTCTCATCTTCATCCTGCATTTGCGCCAGAATTTGTATAAAGATCCGAAGACGACTATGTTGTCCAGAATGGACAATCCAAGAAACTGTTTTAAGAGTATTGCCAGCACTAATTTATCAAACTATGATGTATAGTGTGTACTTATGTGGTGTTTGCCATGTTAGTCTAACTTCCCCCTGTTTTTATAGCTAAGCATGGTCTTTGACATTATCAAAGTTTCTTTCACTTTTTTTGTGAATTTTATTTCTTGTTTTTCATTCTCTAAGTTGCAGCCTTGGGCCCTAGAGATTCCCTAGAGATTCTTCCGCGTGTTTCCCTTGCCAGAAATGGCTTTTACAATTAAAAATGTGAACAAGCATATGAGATACTAAAATTGCTACTAGGTTTATATGTGTTAACATCCAAATATTGGTATGGATCTGGATGTTCTATGTAGAAATACTTCTCCATTCCAAATTATAACACATTATGGCTTTTCTCTAGATACTGTTTTTACTTTATATCAGTACATAACAAGCCAAAACGTCTTATAATTTGGAATGGAAGGAGTACAAGTTTAGTGAAATTGATGTTATTATGTTGTTTCTTTTTATAGTTTTTCACAACAATGCCTTGTGCCTGCGATCCATCAAGTCTGCCCAAATGGCCTCCAAGAAAGGTGAAGAAGCTACGAGGTGATTCCCTCTCAGAAACCATGGCATATTAAGAATCAGCATTGCCAATCTTCTGTTTGGACATTTCTTATTAAATCCAAGTTCATGGTTTTGTTTGCAGGCAAAGACCACCTGGTAGGGGACCTGATGGCAGGGGTGGATTTGTTCGAATTTTAAGCATTATTCATGTAGAGAATTAGAAAAACATCTCCCACCCTTATGGTTGGGTGATGTTTCATATATGTATAGGTATGTATATATGTATATATTTACAAGATGAGTACAATACAAGGCATTGTGTTTTATGACTTTTTTGTGGGAGTACAACTTTACGACGAAAATTGTGTGTCTATCACTAAGACCAAGTAGAAATTGTAATTAGTTGTGTAGGATTTCCATATATCGCTACAAACTGTAATTTATCATGATATGCTAACTGGAATTGTCACAAATCTGTTACTATCAGTTCTTCATATCTTTTTATTTAAATTTTAACATGCTAGCCGCAACTCCACAAGTTATTTTTTTTTCATTTTCCATTTAACAGGGCACAACCCATATACGCCATTCCAGTCTATTTTTTTTAAATATAAACAGTTATTTTTTATAAAAAAAACATAGCAAACAAACAATTATTTTTCCAAATTAAAACAACACTAGATCCCACGGACTATGCCTATTACAAGATTATAAAAGATCTGCCCCCTCTCCCTGTTTATAAATTCGATTTCAGCGACTAGTTGCAGGGCCAGAAGGTTTCTGAAATAATACTGGCACCAGCTAGCATAGTGCCAACAATAACTTTAACTTGTGCAGTTAGGCCAGTAATAAGATGATACATATTGATATTGTGCTCGGAATATAAGCCTTCCATCATCAGTATTTTATAAGGCACCGTACCGTACCTCTGGAAGTTGAGGGATTGAATGTCTCGTTACTTGCAGCCTGAGAATCGCCGCCATCTTCTTGACATGGTGAGCCCTTTCTTTTAGGCACTGAAGAATCCATCTGCAGTTCGACAAAGCACAGTGACGAGTTGTTATCATTAGAAGGAAAAAAAAACGAGCTCAAGGAGAAAATCATGCAACAGTCGATTGAAATCTGCACCCAAAATTTTTAATCTGCTCTTCCATTTTCCAAGAGCCATGCAAATAGTGGAGATAGGGCAACATCAAACCTCGTTCTCTACCAAATTGAAGCGACAATTCTGTAGAAACCAACTCGAATGGATCAATGAGCGGCGCTAACAAGATACCACTGCACTAGTTGTTCTTTAAGAATGAATCGAAGAGAACAAGGATGCGGCGGAAGTGTAGATGAGACGATGAGACACCGGGGTGCGGCGGCGGAGGTGGTGGCGCGCACTTACGTGCTCTAAGGCGGCTGCGTTTCCTTTCTTTGCTTTCCTTACCTTTACACTTATAGGCCATGGGCCTTGGGCTCGGATCCGCTTTCCTTAACCCTTGGGGGGTTGGGCCTTGGGCTCGGATCCGCAATCGCTCCTCCATTTCTAGTTTTTGGTTTGGATGATTTTAATAATTTAAGTTTAAATAAATCTGACATCAAAATTGATCTATCTGCAACACAACAAGGCAATAACTATCAAAATAAAATATATTTTTTTTACAAATTATGTGTGGTCACAACAGCTTACATCTACAATTTTGTATGGAAATTTCGTATGCCATTGAAACACATGTCATGTAGGTTGTAATTTTGTACATACACATTGTGCTCGTTTATACAGTGGGTATAGCTCTGAAAAAGAACAAATGGACTCGAAGCTCAGTGCTCACACCGTGCCTTATTGCTGAGAAGCTTTGCTCAGCCATATTCCGTCTCTGTTGGGTTTCGATTTGAACTTTGTAACAATCTTTCAGATAATAAACAGCTTTAAATTAGAATTTGTCAACTATAAAGTTGCAACTTGCAAGTCTCAACTCTCATCAAGTAAATCTCATATAAAGATTGTTTCATTCGACGTAATATGAGAAAGGTATAATTTCCTTAAAAGTCACCCGTCGATGGGCTAATTATCACTAGAAGGAAATGTACGGTTACACTATATATATTTTTTTAATTTAAAATTTGCGCCATATGATTTGCCAAAAACAAATTTTCACCATTTCAACCAGTATCGTATTGTCGCCCTTTGTGTTTGATGAACGGTAATGCTGGAACGAGACTTGTCCGTGGACTCGACGCCCAGAAGCCTATCCGATCATGTCCGCATGCCCTCTAGTCACTACCGATTAAAAAAAAGATTCACGCATCACTATGACTCCGCTCTGCGACCGGCTCCGCCGCGGCTCCCGCACGTCTCCCTCTTTACTGCACCTCCCGCTAGCCTTCCTCTCCACCGCCGCGCCGACCAAGACCTTGCTGAAAATGCTACGCCATGGTCACCGCACCACCCGATTGCGGTTGTCGCGCCTCCAACGTGGGCACCGTAGCGCCCTATCACCGTAGCATGGCGCTTTCGCCGGGGCTGCATAGCCGCCAGCTCGCTGCCATCCTCCTTCTCCACCGCGACCGGATCCCGTTGTGCCGTGCTCCACCCGCCTGGTCGCCATGTTTTGCTGAAAGCCCATGTTGCAAGTGTATGTTTCGAGTTTTTATGTTTCAGAGGTATGTTGCAAGTATTTCAGATGAATGTTGCAAAATTAAATCAGGATGTTGCATATGTTGCAATGGTTGTACACATATGTTGCAAATGTCTATTAGCAATGTTTCATATGTGTTTTTCCAGACGCATGTTGCAAGTGTGTTTATCTGGATATTGCATATGCTTCACAAATACATTGCAATGGTTTACAAGTGTTTTTATGTGTTTTTTTTCAAATGTTTCAGAAGCATATTTCGAGTGTTTCATCTGCCTTCAGACGTATGTTGCAACTATTGCATTTGGATATTTCAAAAGCATATCGGGTGTTGCATGTCTCCTCCTCACCTTCTGTTGCATTGTCTCGGTGTGTCCTCCTCTTGGCGCCGGCAAGGCATCCATATGATAACGTGGCCGGGTCCTTCCGAATCGGAGGCGACGTCCCCTTCCCCTCTTGTCGCTCGAGCAACACGGGCCCCTTGTGGAGCACGTGAAACAAAAATGTAGTCTTGTGGCGTCCGTTTAGACGTTTGGACGCTAGCAATCGTTGTTCGATTTAAATATGGTTTTGTGTTGGATACTATTTTTGAATTCGCAAAAAAAACTATTTGTGCATTTAGTCAATCCTACGATTATTTTTGTATACAAACAAATAAAAATCGAGATTTCTCAAACAGAGCAGAAAAGAGAAAACAAGTCCGTAATGGGCCAGCCCAAGAGCTTGTGCTCCGCTCACACGGCCCGCCTCATTGGCTGGCATGAGCCAAGTCCCATTACTAGCCCTGAGTGCCACTGACTTGGTGGGCCCACCAAGGCGTCTTGGCGCGCTGAGAGCGCCCCAGACGCCAGAGCCCACAGCCTTCCTTCCCCCTCAAGGCCTCTCCCAATTCTCCCGCCGCCCGCCTCCCTCTCTGCCGGCGGCGAGGTGTGATGCCACGAAGGCGGCGGAGGCGCCGCCCATTTGATGCGCCCACGGCCGCCTCCTCGCGGCGCGCTCTCCAAGCATCACCTCCTCCGCATCCGCCGGTGCCTGCCACCCGTTTGGCTTAATGCCGCCCCCGACCAGGACCCGACCCGCTACCTGCCGCCGCCTCCTCCTCCCCCGCGTCGCTCTCATCCCTCATACGCTCCTGCACGTCCCAGTGCGCCCGTCGCCCCGGCGAGCAGGCGCACGCGCGCGCCGTCGAGCTCGGCCTCGGCGCGCACCCCTCGGTGCTCCCCAGGCTCGCTGTCTTCTACATCACGCTCGACGACCTCCCCGCCGCGCGTGCCGCGGTCGAGCGTGCGGCGGGAAAGGCGCGGGCGTTCCCGTGGAACCTGCTCATTTGTGGGTATGCCGACCGTGGGCTGTGGGGCGACGTGGTCCTCGCTTGCCGCAGGATGCTGGCGCTGGGCGTGGCCGCCGACAGGTTCACGTACCCGTCGGTTCTGTGCGCTTGCGGCGAGCTACGGGATGCCTCGGTTGGCCCGGAGATTGAGCAGCGCGTTCGGTCGTGGGGATATGGTCTGGACATGTACGTCTGGAACGCTCTGGTGGGGGTGTACGCCAAGTGCGGGGAGATGGAGGACGCGCGCAGGGTGTTTGATGGAATGCCTGCGCGGGATGTTGTCAGCTGGAATGCCATTGTGTCTGGGTACGCGTCGGCTGGTATGTGGGGCGAGGCGTTTGACCTGCTGCAGTGGGTTCCTAATGCGGTTGGAGCAGGAAATTTGAAGGTGGGGAACGATGGCGAGGTGATGAGGTTTGTGTCGCAGATGAGGAGTTGCCATGGTCCGGGGCTGGATTCTGTGACTGTTGTGATTGGACTCAGGGCATGTGCTAGGAGTGGGTATCTGAAGATTGGCAAGGAGTTGCTTGCTGTGTCTGTTCGTCTAGGCTTTGATAGGCTTGAGCACGTGGAGAGTTCATTGATCACAATGTACTCCAGATGCCAAATGATGAGCTCTGCATACCGCCTGTTCAGAACATGCTCAACTCAAAGCGTAGTAATATGGAATTCATTGCTAGCAGGATTTGGATTCATGGACCAGGTTGAGGAAGCTATTTTGCTTTTCAGAGAGATGATTTATTCCTCTGTCTTTCCAAATGATGTTACTCTGTTAACTATGCTTTCACTTAGCGCACGTTTTGGACACCTCTGTCACGGAAGGGAGATGCACTGCTACATTTTCAAGCATGGACTCGGTGCCTCTAACATACTGCAGAACTCACTTGTCGATATGTACTCAAAGTCTAGACAGATGGCAGCTGCTCAGAGAGTGTTTGATCAGATGCAATGTCAAGACAGGCACGCCTATACTTCATTGATTTTGGGCTATGGAATGCAAAGAGAAGGGCATCTATCACTGAAGCTCTTTGATGAAATGATCGCCAACAATATCAAGGTGGACCATGTAACTATGGTTGCTGTTCTTTCAGCCTGCAGCCACTCTGGGCTGGTAACTCAAGGGCAGCTACGATTTGCTGAGATGTTTGATGTGTTTTGCATTGCACCAAGGGTGGAGCATTTTTCTTGCATGGTTGATTTGTACTGCCGTGAGGGTTTGCTGAGTATGGCTGAGGAGATAATTAACAAGATGCCATTCCAGCCAACTGCCGCGATGTTGGCAACTTTAATTAAGGCTTGCAGGATCCATGGAAAAACAGAAGTTGGGGATCGAGCTGCAAAGAGGATGCTGGCCATGAGGACAAACAACCCCGGTCACTACAAATTGACTGCAAACATGTATATATCAGCAAAACGCTGGCCAGAACTAGCCAAGGTTAGATCATTAATGAGCGTCATGGAGCTAAATATGATTCCAACTCATTCCCTACTAGAGTCAGAATATGACATATGTCCAGTCGAACAAGATTGTTGCTTAAACGGCAGTATGCATGGAGGCTTGTCTGATGACATGACAGATACTGATTTCTCTAGTAGTGAGGAAGTGAAATGCAATGAAGCTTTTGGTGGGTAACAGTAAAGCTGGAATCCAATAGGCTATTTTGGGATCATGGTTTCATTTTAGGCAAATATCTTAACAGCTTGTGTTCTTCGCATCATGGAAGAGGTAATATGTTTTTTTTTTTTTTTTTTTTTTTTTTTGCTGTCATGCTACTTGCTTGAAGGGTGGGCCTGCCGCCTGTGACCGGAAGGTCCCGGGTTCGAGTCGCGGTCTCCTCGCATTGCACAGGCGAGGGTAAGGCTTGCCACTAACACCTTTCCCCAGACCCCGCACAGAGCGGGAGCTCTCTGCAGTGCCGCACTGGGTATGCCCTTTATGCTACTTGCTGGTACTTTGTCTACATGCTTAGAAATTAGAGATAATTGTTTACACGTGCTTGCTTTTGAGGTTTGAACTACCTATAACTGGGATGTACTTCTATACAGCAAGTTTGATATGCTGTATAATTTCCTAGATAGAATTTGTTTGAGGCTTGGAGCTACAATTTTCTGAATTGGCAGTTTGGATTTTTTCCCAGGTTCTTTTACATCTGTTCTTGATTTGATTCTGTGGTATTTTGTCTCACTTAGCAAGATGTTAAAGAAGATAGTAGAGGCCATTTTACCTCTTGTAGTCTCGTGCTAAGTAGTAGAAGCATTGGACTGAACCATTGTGCCTTTTCTTTTCTCGAAAGGGACTCAACCTTAGCAATCTTGGCGTCTGATGCACTGATTTCTCTTTGTTTGATTGTTCTTTTACAGAGGACCTTGCATTGCTACATACAAATTAAAGATGTCATTTCCAGTACTACCTTCAAACACGATCACAAACAATTTGGCACGGTAATACAAAAATTTGCAATACTATTATCATTTGACACTGTTCTTTTACTGTTTCTGCACTCATGTGATTCATCATGGTCATTGCAATTTTAGAACCAGTCTACCACCTCTGTTGCCTCAGGAGCAGCTGGCCAACCTCTGAATTGCCCGAGTGAAGGACAGCTCTGGTAAAAATTTTCAATAATTTATGGAAGTTGATAATCTTTTTACTGGAGCATATCAGCATAAGCAAACTTCAAACTTTTGTTTTTCATTTGATTTGAGGTTGTTTGAGTAGGCTGTTGTAAGATAATCTGCTGCTGGGCTCTTGTATTTTGCTGCAGGAAGTTGGCAATATGTCAATTCCTTGCTATCCTTTTCTTCTCCCCTCTCTACTGCAGCTGGTATGCCAATAGGCCACTAAGTCAAGGCTGATGTAAGCCATGTAGAGTAGTTGAGGCTGATCTCAGCCGGTACTAGTTTACCTTTTAGTTGTTCAGCTACTACTCCTAGATGTGTATACTCTATGGAATGGAACAGAGAGAAGACAATTCAGTTGCTGCACTTGGCCGTGTGTGCTCTGTTCTCACCCCTCTTCTTCCTCCTCTAGCCTATAACCAGTGTGTGTGTGTGGTTGAAGCTGCTGCTCACCTGTGCAGGGAGGTCGGCTGCCAACAGCTGTCAAGTGTAATATGTGTTTGCTATCTCAGTATTTTTTTTTGACACGGGGGCTATTGTTAGCTGCTCTTTTTTCTGGCCTCTATGCTTTAGCCTATCCCACAATCACTGTGTTTATTTTTCTTTGTCCTTTTCATGTGTCTGTTGATTACTGTGTATGTATAGTTTCTTGGTATTGAATCTTTATTTCCGTTATATTATACAAAACTACAGTAGCTCATAACCTATATTAATAAAATAGTGATACTGCTCCGTTAGACCTTCATGGAAACGGATGGGGATGGGGATGGGGATGGACCGACTTAGAAAGACCCACATGTTTTTTCATGGGAAATCTGGGGCATCAAATATGTTGGGATTTATCTGTCGATGTGTAGTAGAAAAAAATAATGCATTATGTCTCTGGAATCTTCTCCTTGGGAGAGAACCAAACTAACAATGGTGATTGCTTCCATTTTCAGAAAAGTAAGTAGCAGGCCATGCTTTGCGTACCACTAGCAGAGTATCGGATACGGCAAAAAGGCAGCGTTCTGTTGGGCACACTTAAGTGGGCGTCTCAGATTATAAGCTGTCTACGCAGCAGCCTGGAGCAGCAACTGGCAATCATAATGACAAAAATGGAAGGCTCCACCGGCAGTGTCCAAATTGTGTCTAGGCGTTTGGTCCAGCCAGAGTCCGGAAGCTCACCGAACATGGTGCCGTCAGAGCCAGAGATCATTCACTTGACTCCATGGGATCTCACGCTGATCACGGTGGACCACATCCAGAAGGGTATCCTCCTGCTTAAGCCCGGAATAGGATGTGCATAACTCATCCAGAAGAGTTCATTCATGCCGTGGCTCCTGTGGCCACCGTGAGCCACATAACCACCCCACTGTACATCCCATCAGTCGTGTGGTCCTTCTTCCCGCTGAACAGGCTGCTGAATGTGGAAGCTGTCGTGAGCTCGCTCCCCGTGCTGGCCGCGCAGGTCACCGAGCTCGCAGATGGCATCTTTATTGCGATGTCGCTCAACCATGGCGTCGCCGATGGGGCTACATTCTGGCTCTTCTTCAATACCTGGTCGGAGATAAACCGGCGCAGCAGCGGTGGAGGTGAAGGGTACAAGCTGTCCACACCGCCGCCTGTGCTGGACAGATGGTTCCTCGACACCTGCCCGGTGCCAGTCCCTCTACCCTTCGGCAAGCTGGAGGACATTGTCCGGCGACGCGAGTACACGCCGGTGCAGGAATGTTTCTTACACTTCTCTGCGGAGAGCATAAAAAGGCTCAAGACGAAGGCAAATGCCGAGATGGCCGGAACTGCGACGGCCACCATCTCCTCGTTGCAGTCCCTGCTCGCTCACCTTTGGCGAGCTGTGTGCCGAGCCTGGGGGCTCGCACCACACCTGGAGACCACGTACAAGCTTGCCATCGGATGCCGCGCTCGGGTGAAGAGTATACCACAAGAGTACATGGGCAACGCTGTGGTACTTGATGTCGTAAAATCCATCGTCAGCGACGTCCTGGACAAAGGGCTTGGCTGGGCGGCGTGGCTCCTAAATCGTGCTGTGCTGTGGCGTCGTTTGACGAGGCGAAGGTGAGGAACAATCTTGCATGTTGGGCCCAGAATCCCAACCTGCTGTATGCGAAACCCTCCAGGAACCACGGTTTCGACGTGTATGGCAATGGCTTTGGATGGGGTCGGCCATTGGCTGTCCGGAGCGGCGCTGGGAACAAGGTGGATGGGAAGGTGACCGTGTATGAGGGACGCGCCGGTGGAGGCAGTATTAGTGGCGGGGCCACAGGGTATGCCGACTTCCCTGCGAGACCGGCCTACATATACGTAATATATACAGTACATCTGTATTTGTAAAAAGAAAAGAATAACTCACCTAGATGCCCACGTGATGCGGCCCACACGGCAAGTCCAGATGCCTACGTACACCACGACGTTCCCAGTTTTTTCTAATCTATATAATATAATCCTTCGCTCGTACCTGCACCAACTAGTCCCGCACAGGAAAAAGAATAAGTGCCCCGGTAATAGGGTTTGGGGAAAGTCTGAAGCCCCCTTAGCCCTTACCCCTTGGGTTATATTTATAAGGGGATGGGAGGAGGCAATCTTCCTTCCGACCCTCCTTTGGTTCACAAATTTACATACAGGTCATCGGACTAATTAGGCGCTAGGCCTTTTTACATGGAAGGGGATAGGCACAGCCGTCCCTACCCCCAACAATTGTCTAGTCACTTTCACCAAACGGGGTATTTTCATTGAAGTTAATAAAGATAATATAATCAAGACATTCATGTCCATTCGATAGAAAAGCGTTGAATAAAATAGTCGGAAAAATAGCGTTATAAGTCTCTGGTAGTATGCCTTTTGAATTATTTATATTATATTCCGTGGATGGTTTCAACTTAATCCTTGAATTTAAACCTTATCATGTTATTTTTACACGTATACTGAATCACGTTGTCAAATTTTACAATTTTTACCGAAATGCAAAAATAAATTTACCGAATTGTATATGATTTTTTTAGTGGCATACCTTAAGGTAAAATCCAAGATCCGCCACTGGGCAGCATGGCCTTGGAGGTGTGCCTGTCTCCTGACGCGCTCGGCAAGCTAATCGCCGACGAGGAGTTCATAGAGGCAGTGAGCGCCGTGTGAAGGCGTGGTGCCTCGTCGCCGGACGATGCCTGCTGGTGGTAGTTCGCGCCATGTGCACTCTTCTACTGCTTTTGCTTAGTGCTTCTTAAATAATGTTGTGTTCATTGATTCGATAGCTAATTTATCTTTTTTTTGCATACTTTTTTTGAAACATCTTTTTTCTGCATACTTTGTTGAAAGAACTCTATGCTTCTTTTGTGCTGTTATATACGAAGTCAGATGCTGCTGTTCTAACTATTTTCTTTAGAAAAATGTTGTTATAACTATAAACTCATGTTTAATACTACCTATCCATGTGCTCTCCTTTATGCTCATTTTCCATGTGTGAATGCTTGATTGGCGACAAGTTTTATCCATCTATCTATAGACTGCCATTGCCATCATAGGAATACTTGAACCATGGCCGTGATGGTTCAGTTCAGTACAGTACATAGTGGTTCATATAGCGAATAAAGTCGGTAGTATGCCACAATATTCCAAACGAATTTGTAGGTGAAATTGGGAAATAATTTTTTTGGGGGGGAATCACAAAAAAAATGAATTCCAATTCCAAACAAAATTGTAAACGGAACTCATTCTGTGATCCAAGCCAATTTTTAAAATATATCGAAATGGAATGCTAGAAGCCAAAACCCTGGTTCGCATTCGCTGACCACGGACGCTCTTTTTTTTATAGCAGAATATGGAAATCACACTATGAACACAATGTAAACATTCAGAATTATTAATACATTGGTCTTGTAGTATGCCACAATATTCCAAACGAATTTGTAGGTGAAATTGGGAAATAATTTTTTGGGGGGAAAATCACAAAAAATTGAATTCCAATTCCAAACAAAATCTTAAACGGAACTCATTCTGTGATCCAAGCCAATTTTAAAAATATATCGAAATGGAATGCTAGAAGCCAAAACCCTGGATCGCATTCGCTGACCACAGACGCTCTTTTTTTTTTATAGCAGAATCTGGAAATCACACTATGAACACAATGTAAACATTCATAATTATTAATACATTGGTCTTGTAGCTCATGTATATAAGCTTGGTTTGCTGATCCATAACATATAGGCTTTATGGTCCAGGAATCGTTACTGTAGTCATAGTTATTTTACCACAGAAATAAATACAAAATGTTACATTGCATTTTTTTTTACCACAGGAAGAGGATAGATATGAAATCAAAGAAGAGAAAGAGAAATACAAATAAATTTTCAAAGAAATGTGTGACAAAAGGACGGCCCAGAAGAAAGCCCGTGTGGGTGCGCTCTCGCTGCGCCCAACAACCCCGACTGGGCCGCCCGTCGCTGCATTTCCCCTTCCGTCCGCTTCATCCCTCCTCGTGGTTACTCCCAGCCCCACCGCCGCCGCCAGGTGCTGAGGCTTTCGTTGGTCTCTTCTTCGCCGGCGACGAGCACCCACCTGGTACTCCCACCCCTTCTCTCCCCTTCCCTTCATGCTGTGCGAAGCTGAACACCGAAACCCTAACCTAAAGCTATCTACTGGATCCGCCCCTGCCCAACGACATGCATATAACTCCGATTTCTTGACAAAAATTCGATTCGCCCGTGGTTTACTGAGCAAATTCTTCGCAGGGCACGGGCCTCAGGATGCAATCTTTGGTCCGGAATGTCTGCCGAGCCGGAAGCCGTGGAGCTGCAGCGAGGCTCCTGGAGCTTGCCGCTGCTCCCGTAGCCGCGGTTCAGCCGGGGGTGGCGCAGCCATCCTCGGCCGTCAAACACCTCAGGCAGCCGTACGGGTTCGCTCGTCCGACCGGGATAGATCAATCCGTGCGTGTGCAGAGCCGGGCCCTTCCTGCCGCCGCCGCCTCCGGTTTCGGTCTCTGCGCAAAAGTTCTCGGTGCGACGAGGGGTTTGTCGACTGTGGGGAATGCGGCTGAGTTTGCTTCTGATTCTGACGATTCCACCTCTCCTGCGGTTGAGCACCCTCCACGCATCAAGTTCAAGAGGCCTGATAAGACCGCCAGGCACATTATGAATGTATGTATGCTGAGTGAGTGTTACATACTTGCAGGAACTATATTGTCACATTATATCCAGTGACAGTGACAAAATCACCACATAAAGATAAATCTTCTTGTTTGACTATGCAGATCCTGAACAAAGAGGCAGTCGAAAAGGTCCGCTCGGAGAGGGAGATTCCTGATGTACAGCCTGGATGTATGATTCAGATGAGATTGGTATATCATTTCCTTGTGTTCCTGCTTTAGTGCTGTTCGGATATGTTTCTGGCACTGATCCTTCCTGTGAATCAATGAACAGCAAGTTCCTGAGAACAAACGGCGCGAATTGACATTGAGAGGGATTGTACTGGGAAGGCGCAATGCTGGGATCAATACAACCTTCAGATTGCGTAGATTAGTGGCTGGCGTTGGAGTCGAGTCTGTCTTTCCACTGTAATTCAATCCGAACATGCTCTTCTCTACTCTAACTTATACTTTTAATATACTCTGCTTTGTTTTGGAATATATCATTCTGAGGTTGAAGTACTTGTTTTATAGGTTCTTTAATATCCTTGTGCTGCCAGAATTAACTTTTTGTTCATTGATATCTGATAATTATTCAATGACTGCTAAAATTCATGTTTCTACTATCTAGTGGGATATTTCTCCCTGTCCGGTACTATGGTAGACATGAAGTTCTTGTCCTCTGTTTGTGCATAACCTTACAATATACTCTGATAAGTTATGGCCAGCTAAACTATAGATAGATGTGTGGTTTCTGCATGAGAAATTGGATGTTTGCAAAACTGGGAAAACTGTTCTCAGGAAATCAGGTTTTGTCCTTCTGTTTGATGTAAATCCATGAATACTATATTAACCATGCTATGACACATAGCTAATGACCGGAAGCAAGTTAATGATGATGTACCGAACAGTTTAGGCGGATTGGCCGTTTTGCAGAATGATGGACATAACTGCTTGTGCCCTGTTAGCAAGCATCCTAGTACGAGTGGAGATTATAGTTTCATAAACACATTATCCAGTTATGCTCATACCTCAGTTGTTCTGAATTTGTAGCAGATTCTTTCTTTGCTCTGCATTTGCCATGGAAACAAATACATTGAAAGAATACTATTAGTAGTAGTTTATATGTTCTTTTTTCTTTTTTTTTAATTATTATCAGGATCTTTGTGCTTCGTTCAGCACTTAACTTTTAATGTTTGGAGCTAGCATAACCATGGAAAGATATCATCACATATGACAATGCATATACGATACTAGATTGACTTGAGATTTTCACCAAATTATGTTTTATGGTTTGAATGGAAACCTGCCGGTGTTATCTTTCATTGTTCGAACGGCCACATGTCTTTCTTTTAATTAGCTATCAACTATTTGCTTGCACTATTTTCTTGATGTGACTTTCTCTTTTATGTTCAGCTACTCGCCAAACATCAAAGAAATCAAGATCTTGGACAGGAAGAAAGTCAGGAGAGCCAAGCTGTATTACCTGAGGGACAGGGTGAACGCACTTAAAAAATGAGGCTTTCAACTTGTTTCTAGGATTTTTGCCCATGTGGATAAGCATGGTTTCTGAAGATGAAACAGTTGAGTCTGAGAATCACATTGTTTGGTTCCATGTTTGAAAAGCCATAGCTTGTAGTTGTCAATTGTCATGCTTGGTTTCAAGCGGCAAGTGCTAGCACAATATGTTTTCTGACACAAAATTAACAATGCGGATCTTCGTTCTTTGATTTGCAGCACTGTAACATCAGTGCAAAAAATAACGTGCTCAGGTCTATTATATTACTTCCCCACCCTTATTTAGTATTTTTGTTTGACATAAACAAGCTGGAATACTTCACTGATAAAATTGAAACTATTATGCGATGCTTGCTGCTGTTGAGATTACCGGTTTCATATATCAAATCGTTTATTGTTGTTCACAGAAATATGTTGTTCGTCTCTGTTTCTGTCCACCTTGACTTGCTGTGAACAAGTGGTATAAGCTCTATGGACACCCATGGAACTGAAATTTGTTGGAGTTTCTATATGGCTCATTATGTGTGGTGCGATCAAATGCAAGTGATTGTCAGTGCGTGGTATTAGTTTTAGAAACTGACACCTGATATTTGTCCAAATTTCATGGCCGTTGCCTTACTCCGTATGCAGGGGAGCCTTCAGTTATTACAAATTGGCAGCCTACCATGTCTGGGAGAAAAGGAAAAATAACTATTTCATTGTTTTGTTTTTACATAAGAAAGCATATGTACCTCGGGCCTTATCGCCCTTGTTGATTTTGGGCTATGGAGTTGAAAGAGATGGGTATATCTATATATCAGTCAAGCACGTTGTTGATGAAGTGATATATCAAGGTGGACCATGCAAATATGGTTGCTGTTCTTTTAGCATGCAGCCATATATATATAGGCAGCTGGCAATGAGGAGTAACAGCTACAAGTTTCTTTTGAGGGAAACAGGAGGGGTTGCCCCCTACTGAACTTTATTAAACTTTAAAGAACAGAGTTTGCCTAATACAACTCAAGAAACAAAGAAGGAAACAAAGAAAATAAGCAAAATTACACAAAGTTGTCTAGCCATAACTGCAGCTGAAAGCTTAGATCTCTTTTAGCTCTAAGCTTAACTCGAGCTAATTCTTGTTTGAAACAGCTACAAGTTGGATGTAATGAGAGGCAACCAGATTAATCACCACCTGTGCTGATGCTCAATGCTTCACTTAACCAGAGTAGAGCATATAAATCAATCTCACACCACAAACTCGATCATAGATTATTGTAGCTTGATTAATGGTTCACCAATACAATACAATACAGCTGGCATATGTAGATGGATACATATATAGCAAAGCAAACCAATTCCATCAAATCGCACAAGACAAGACAGGTGCGGTTTTATTACAAGCATCTGGTCTGATCCCTCACAATTCACAAACGGGCTGGGCTGAGGTAGCAGACACACACAAACACACACTCATTGATCGTTCGGCAAGCTGAAACACAAACTGTCACCCGCAGACATGCAGGCAGGTGGCTCAGGCACCAACAAGCAGGCGCCTGGGCCTGGCCGTCTTTCTTTTTTATTTCAAAACCAATGCAAACACACAGAAGAGGCCAATTCGGCTGGCCGGCCGTCATGGCAGGCAGGAGCAAACCTGAAGCCCCATACCTCCCTGGCCTTTCACACAACAAACAAACTGATCGATCAACAGGCAGGCAGGATCATCCATCACACGAACAGTAATCCACAGAGACGACCGACGGTAGCAGCAGCAGCAGCAGATGCATGCTTTCTTCCATCACCTGTCGGCAGCAGAGTGAGTGATTGAGAAGCAAATTAAATCAATTCATAAGAGCAAGTAATCTGTCTTATTATTATTAATTAACTGGGCTAGCTAGCTACAACAAGCCAACGACGACAGATAAATGCACTCAACACGTACGTACGCATAGGAACGTATGTAAAAAATATACTGATTATTACCTGAGCACGGTGCTCCTGAGCACGCGCCTCTTGTAGTAGCGCGAGTGCACCGGCGCCTCGTACAGGGAAGGGTGGTGCCTGGCGTCCACCCCGTCCCACTCCAGCGCGTCCCACACGTCCTTCTCGATCTCCACGGTCGGCCTCCTCTTTCCTGGCTCGTTGCGGCCCTTCAAGGCCGGCAGCCGGCGCAGGCTCCAGCATCCCCTGATCCTGATGGTCTCCAGCGCGGGCGCCAGCATCTCGGCGGCCTCGCATATCTGCTGCAGCGCTGGTAGGTCGTGCAGGTGGATGGTGGTCAGCTTCGGGAACATGACGCTTGTATACTGGTACTTCTCGTCAGCATCACCCGGTAGGAAGACGTGTCTGAGTTCGCCGCAGTGGACGATGTGGAGGGTCTCCAGGCTGGGGAAGAAGGGGGTGTACTTGGCCATCGCAAGCCCGAACTGGAGGCTTGGACAGCAGCGCAGGTGCAAGTGCCGCAGGCTACTGAAGTGACCAAGAGAATAGTAGGTGACATCTTTGCTCCATACACAACGAGCCATCAGGAGATCCGATACCCAGATGGTCTCCAGCTTACCATTCGGATCTTCTGCGCCCGGAGGAAAGACGGCGTGCAAGCTGGGGCACCTCTCGACACGGCACCACTTGAGGGAATGCCAATTCCATCTAGGCATAGTATTGCTCCAGGTCGAGACATCATGCACATAAAGGGATTCGGTATACTCTCTCATCAATGAATCCAAATTACGACCAGAAGGATCTGCCTCCACCTCACTCGGCACGCTACGACTTCCGTCACCAATCTCGATATGGCCACCATGTTCATTCACTGGCCATATTCATATTTTGGTCTCATGCTCTAGAGTTAGTATAAAGGTTCTACATTTTGCCGACAGTACAAGCAAGGCATGCATCCTCTACTACATACTATATGCTCCACCACCTGGCCCTAGGCTTCCATTAGAAAAGAAGGAATGGAAGACGAAAGACATCAAGCCATGGTCAGGTTAACATTGTAACACTCATCAAGCCCCTAAGCATCATGGTCGTGAGATAGTTGTGCCCTCGAGCAGTTAAGCTTAGTGGAGATGGCGGGTCATGGGTCACAGCTAAGTTTGTTCACCTTTAGTCAGCATTCTTTGTTGCTTTGCTCAATTGCTCTTATGGTTTCTTTGTTTTCGACTACATTGCGGTATTATTGTTGATCCTTGCAAGATCCGTCTCGCTATGATTGCGGATGTCGCGCCTTAAAATTTATCTTCTTTGTAAGTCTAAACTTGCTAGGATTAGGATGTATTATGTAATTCTCTCTTTCTCTCAACGGAATTCGAGTTCCCGGATAACAAGGACATGGCATCGGTCAACAGCCTTTTACTTTTAACGTGAGGTTGGTCAATGTTTCTACGTCTGGAGCACTCGGCCGTATCTCGTCTTCGGGATACCAAGGGCGCGCCTCAGCAGCCTCACAAAACAGATGGCCCGGTCGATCGCTACCGCCGCCGGCAAACAGTGCAGCGAAGAGAGGAAACGTGGCTGCCGATGCTCGACGGCGCTATCTCGTTGAGGCTCAGGGATACGAGAGGATGCGAATCCGATCCCTAACAATGATGCCCCAGCGGATATATCGTGTTAGTAGTACTGAAAGTTTATAGTAGGGGTTACAAACGGGTGAGAGAGGGACAGGTCCCAAGTCTCTGGTGAAAGGAGTGAACGGGTGCTGAGAGAGCTCGGTTGCTGCTCAGCCATGTGTTCGGGTCATGCTCTGATCTGTTCGGGGTTCGATCAGTTCGGGGTTCGATCAGTTTTTTTCCATGCCTCTCATGAGACACCCTGCTTTTCCTTTTATAGGCCAAGGAAAAGCACGGATTACAACGGAGGAAAAGAGAAGAACGAGAGAGAGAGCCAAAGGCCTTTAGGATCGCCGGGTCCTTCTTCTCCTTCATGGGGGTCTACCGACCCAGTAGATGTCAACAGGGACGGCGCCATGTCGTGGCCCTATCCGTCACTGGCGCCATGCGCAGGAGTCGTCTGCCGGTCATGGCGCTCCACTCCGTACTGGTGGACATCATGGTGAACTGACGTGCCTGCCAGTGTTTGTACGAGGGTTAGGCAGAACATCACTGGTACGCCCGATGCTGTTCTTGATGTGAATCCTCAGGTATGGCCCGTTGTGGCTGTGGGATACATCGAGGTGTGCCAGTCTCTTCCTTGGTGTCAGAGTTTTGACCCAGGGCCATACGCCTGGACATGGAGTGGTTGGCGGCGGTATGGGACTCCGTCGGGCGAGGCGGAGCACAAACCCAAGGGTCGGGCGAGGCAGAGTCCATGGCCTTGGGGTCGGGCGAGGTGGAGCCCGCACCCAGAGGTCGGCGCGAGCTGGAGCCCGTGGCCTTGGGGTCGGGCGAGGCGGAGCTCGCCCCCAGAGGTCGGCCGAGGCAGAGCCTGTGGCCTCGGTGTCGGGCGAGGCGGAGCACGCCCCCAGAGGTCGGGCGAGGCGAAGCCCGTGACCTTAGGGTCGGCGAGGCGGAGCCCACGGCCTCGGGGTCGGGCGAGGCGGAGCCCGCCCCCAGAGGTCGGGCAAGGCGGAGCCCGCGACCCCGGTGTCGGGTGAGGCGGTGCCCGCGTCGGGCGAGGCGGAGCCCGTGCCCTCGGTGTCGAGCGAGACGGAGCCCGCGGCCTCGGTGTCGGGCGAGGCGGAGCCCACCCCCAGAGGTCGGGCGAGACGGAGCCCGCGGCCTCGGTGTCGGGCGACGGGGAGCCCACGACCTTGGGGTCGGGCGACGCGGAGCCCGTGGCCTTGGTGTCGGGCGACGCGGAGCCCGCCCCCAGAGGCTCCCCAGAGGTCGATTGAGGCGGAGCCCGCGCACCTGGGGGCCGGTTGGAGCCGTAGTCGCGCTCTTGACTGCTCGGATGAATTAATGTTGACGACCATTAGCCCCTCCTCTTCGAGTACCCTAGTATTGGTCCCAGACAGTCAGCTATGGTACGGATGGGAAGAGCATGTCCCTCCTGTTCCAATTCTCCAAGTCAATTAAAACTAGAGTCTGTCTACGTAATAGTCGGTTGTTTTAGGTCCTCCAAAACAGTCAGTTGTTGGCAGAGCAAAAAAAACAACCGGATTCTACCAGGACCCCGAAACGACTGTTGGAGCAAACAAAAACAAACGAATGTCAAACCCTATGATGTAGATCCAACGGTCAAACAAAACTACAGGCAAATAAACACATCGGCAATCAATCAGACAACTGAAAGTTACTAAACCTGACCACATTTATTAAAGGGCGGCAACTAAATGTTTGGCTTACACTAACATTAAAAAAATTGACTGAAAACTGAAACTAAGAAATAAAAAAATAATCGAATTCTACCCGGACCAGAAACGACTGTGGGAGCAAACAAAAACAAACGAATTTTAAACCCTGTGATGTGGATCCAACGGTCAAACAAAACTACAGGCAAATAGACACATCGGCAATCAATCTGACAACTGAAAGTTACTAAATCTGACCACATTTATTAAAGGGCAGCAACTAAATGTTTCGCTTACACTATCTTATATAAAATTAAAAAAAACATTAAATTTTTTGAATGAAAACTGAAACTAAGAAATAAAACTAAGAACAATGATGCTCGACGGCGCTATCTCTTTGCGGGAAGGCCTGCATCGGGGTTGGGCTATTACCAACCTTGGTAAAGATGTCACAATACATGTCTCTAGCAGCTATGTCATAGTGTCGTTGGTCATCAATGGATCCAGTCACCTTCTCCTTATCCGTTGTTGCTTCAGGTTGAATAGTCTCCATGCATGTAGCTGAAGAGGTGATGTTGATGTTGAAATAACAATGGGCATCCTCGGAAAGTGCACTATCTATGGGAGCCCAAAGGGACCGAGCAAGCCTAGCATCCGCAAAGATTGCGTGCACCTGCAGCTGGAAGGATTTCTGTTGGGCGCAAAGGGACAATGGCCGAGCACATCCAACTCTAGGCCGTGTGTCTATGCAGATCAACTCCAGCAGCTTCGGTCGTTGCACATCTGAGCCCCACTTTATTGCACGAAGGTTCTCGCAGCCTAGCAGGAAGAGTCGCTTGAGCCTCGGAACATCCACCACCATAGCTCCAAAGTCAAATACCTTGATCGCACATCCTGAAAGGTCCAGCTCCTCCAGGTTGGGAAGCCCACGCAAGAACAGATCCTCCAACAATGTGCAACCTTCTAGAGATATCTTGCAGGCTCTGACATCCTTCTTATTATCTACAGCAGATGGACCCTTTGGACGAGAACTCGTTGGAGGTAGCTTGCCGGTTGATGTCCAATGGGATGCTGGTCCATAGCCATCAAAACTGAATGACCTTAGCAAGGAGTTGTGCAGCACAACATTCTCAAGCCCATCACAACCATCTAGAACAAGCACTTGAAGTTTGCTTGCCTCTGATAGGCTTGTCGGTAGGCTTTTCATGTCACTGTTACCAGACAAATCAAGTATTTCTAGCTGTTTCTTACCCACAAATGAGTTGTTGATGTCCAAGGATGTCGTCTCTTCCTGATGTGTAGGTTTGATTATCCGAATTCTTTGAAGGTAAGGTAACCTTTTCTCTAATAATTGACCCGTATATTGCCAGCACCTAGCTCCTTCTATATTTAGTTCTGTGATATTAGCCATAAGACCTATCTTTTCCTCAGATAAGATCTCACCCCAGTCTGTGTAACGCAGGTCAAGCACCCACAGGCTTTGCAGAAATGCCCACTTGGTGATACAGTCCCGTCGTTCAGGTTCACTACTTGTATTATTATTCTGATGTGTGCAGTTGTCCAGCCCAACAAATCTTAATTTATTGCAGTGGAGGAAAGGAGGGGATACAAAACTGAAGGCACAACATGAGAGAACCAGCACACCAAGTTTGTTGCACTGTTTAAACAAGGTATTTGGCAATCTATATGGTCTATGCTTTGTTTCAAGTGCTAGGAAGGTTGACGAAGCCCTTTCAAGTATATTTTGCATACCCTCATGTACTTTCTTATTCTTCAAGGAGATAGAAATCCAACGATAATAATTAGGCCTCTCCTCATAGATATCATCGTCACCATCCTTAACTACGAGAAAAGGAGTCTTCGGGTCATCGTTGAACTTTTGAAACACAGCATCAAGCACAGAGGCATCACACTCGAAGATTATTTCTGGATGCAATGCATTGCTGATCTCGTTCTCTTTCCCTTGTTGCATGATCCCATCACATATCCAGTAGTTGGAAGAATGAGTTGGCCAAACAAATCCAGTGGTGCCATGAAAACTGTGGTGTAGATGCAGTCCATAGAGACAACAATCTACCACCGTTGTCAAGTCCACACCCTGCATACATGGGTGACGAGCAACTATGTTAGCAGCCTCTTCACTAAACAGTGCCATAAACTGTGAGCTTGATAAACCTCCAGCAGAACTGTGGCAAGAAACCAGAACATCCGTATATCTTAGCTTCTCTGCTATCTTATTGGTATAGGTATAGGTATAGTAGGAGCCCATTGTCACGCACCTTGTACTGAAAGTCCACACTATCATGCAGTCACTATTTTCTGGAATACCAAGTCTACCTAGAAGCACCTCATCATCACTCCCATTGATAAAAACCATCATGAATCTACCCTCCCTCAAGGTTCGGTCAATCACTGCTGCAACACTTCGTACCCGGTCCCTAGAGCCGTGGTCCACCCCATTGAAGTCATCCTCTTCGTCGAGCTCGTCAAACATGGACATGGTCTTATGGTCAAGTCTTAGCTCCTCTGCAATTCTTTTCTGCATCGCTCTCTTGCTTGTCCACCTGGAGCAATCAATATAAATGATTCTGCCAAAGCATAATTCTGGAGGAGGATCTTCCATTGACGGGAGTGCTTCTTGTGCTATGGACCTAAGAACCGCGGCTGCCCCAAAGCCAGCCCAACCATCGAAGTAGATGGTGCTGCTGGTGTCGTTGCTGAGGTTCCTCTGAATAAGATTGAATATTTCCTCTATGGCGCCAGCCACATCTGTTGCGCTGATATCCTGAAACGCGGGAAGGACGGTCGTTGGATTGCTATATATGATCATTTAATTAAATTTCGAAGTATATTATATGAAGAATTGGCAAGACAAACTAAGCTAGCAATTGTGTGTGTATGCAGCCAGTAATTAGAGCAGTACCACTTGTTTCATGACGCTGAAACTCCTCCGATCCACCGACGCACCTAATAAATAAAATTATCAGGGCGGAAGGCGTGTACCCATGATGATCAGCCGATCTCGGTCAATCTCATCCCCATCGTGTACATGCATGTACTCGCTAGCTTCCTGCATGCTTATTAACATAATAACATTACATACATACGAGCGCAGGTATACAACTTATTAACATTACATACATACATGTATTAATCAGCCAGCCTGCTGCTAATAACGTAACAACTTGCTGCATGCTCATCACAACAATGTAGTAATAAGTAATTCGATCTAAAGGCAACAGAGGATGGGGATTCGATCGGGAGGAGCTAGCTAGCACGTGTGCACACCTTTAATTTTGCGTGAGCTGCTCTGCTTAATTAATTCTGCCGGGAGATGATGAGTTACGTTGTGTCGGAGCCCGATCGGCCAATGGAAGCCGGCTGGACGAAGGACGACCCAAAGATGAACTAGATCGAGAGAGGACGACCCACTGGTGTGGCACGCAAGGCTAGCTGTAAGTGGCAACGTATGACTGCAACCAACCCCAAAAAAGAAGAAAGAAAAGAAAAAGAGGAAAAGCACACTGGCAAGCTAGGGCACTGTTTGAACCGATGACTAGCAGAGTTAGCTGGCTAATAGGTCACGGTTAATAAGACCTCGTTTGGATTGAGTAGGACTAATCGTTAACTGGTTTAAATTAGTCCTATTCAGTCTCGATACAAGAGCTAATATACGTGGAATCCTGTTTAAAAGACAATTTTGCCCTTGAAATTGTTCTGCTCCCTATACGAAGAGAAAAGTAGTACAGTGAGATAGGATAGTCCCGAGGTATTTTAGTTTATTTTTATCACTGGTTGTTGCTTTTAGCTCAAAATTAGCTAGTTCTTGCCAACTAGTGAGCTAATAACTAGTTGGGGCCTATTTTAGTCATGATTCTTTGGTTAACCTATCATTATTGACATAATGTTGTTTTCTTTAGAATATGATGTTATGATGCATAACCCTTAGTGGTCGGTGTGGCATGGACTTTCTTGAAGGCGTATACCAATGGAGTGATGATGTGATGCTATGTTGGTGTGCAATGTGGTTCACTTCATTCCAATGAGGACGACTAATTCAGCTGTAGATTTGGTTCCGTTGTATATCAAGGATGTTGTGAGACTACATGGTCTGCCCAAGTCTTTTGCGTTAGATCGAGACTCTAAGTTTGTGTCTATTTTTTGGCAAAGTTTGCATAATACTTTGGGCATGAAACTTAATTTATATAAGTACTGCTTTCCATCCTCAGATAAATGGTCAGTCTGAGCGTACTATTCAGACCTTGGAGGATATGTTGCGTGCCTGTATGCTTTCATGGAAGGGAAGTTGGGAAGATCACTTGCCTTTGCTAGAGTTTGATTACAACAACAGTTACCAAGATAATATCGGGATGGTGCCATACGAAGAGGTGTATGGGCGTAGGTGTATTTCTCCACTTTGTTGGGATGTGGTTGGTGCTCCTTAGTTGGTCTAGATTGGGTGCAACAGACTCTTGATAAAGTACGTGATATTCGACAAAACTTGTTGATTGCTCAGAGTCGGCAAAAGGCCTTGGTGTTTCCCCGACTAAAGGCATCGTTCGTTTTGGCACCACAGGGAAGCTTAGCCCGAGGTACGACATTGGACCTTCATTCTGTGATTATTGCTCATATTGGTGCATTAGCATATCGGTCGCAATTGCTAGAGTATGGCACGAGTACACCAATGTTTCATGTTTCTGTGTTCAGAAAATATTTGAAAGACCCAGAGCAGAAGATTGAAGCTAAGCTAGTGATTATAGAGCAAGACATGATTATGGAATGTTGCCTGCGAGTATTAGAGTTCTTTTGTGTGTGTTATGCATAATCGGTCTATCAAATATATGAAGGTCTTATGGACAATCAAATGAAGTGAGTAGCCACATAGAATTTGTAGGCAAGTAAGTGTGAGTAGTATCGAGAGCTCTTTGAGAGTCGGTAAGTGGTTTCTCTTGTTATGTGGTTGGATCCATGTTTTTGTTAGTAGTTATACTTGAAAGCATTCGGGACGAATTCCTTAAAGGAGGAAAAATGTGACACCTGTGAATACCTAGTGCATAAACAAAGATTTGAATATGGATTAAGAAAATTTAAAGAAAATTCACTAGGCTTTAAAGAAAGACCAAAATTGACTTTTTGATCCGCTGCTTAGATCGACGATCAGAGGTCACGATCCATAGATCTCATCGAATACATTCTATTTGACTACTCATACGCATTGTTCTGAGTTTGGATCAGAAATTTGTTTCCGGCACAAGATTAAAGGGTAAAGATACAGTAGCCGCGAGGTGCTACAGTAGCCATGTCTGACTTTTTCCCTGAGTCTTCAGCCATCGCCCTCTCTTCACGAACGGGAAAAGGTGAGAAGAGAAGAGGGAAGAAGAAAGGAAGGGACTAGGGCTTGCCGCCGTCATCGATGTATTCGTTTTCTCCGAAAATCCATCAGAACGACGACCGGATCGTAGCGACGAGGATCGTTCTGAAGTGGAAGAAGACAGAAGGAAGGATCGAATCGCCGGGGGTTCATCGCCCTGTTCGCTGTGGTTTTTTTCCACACGAGGCGAGCCCCATTTCCATTCAGATAAACGGAAATACAAGAGTTTGGTTTAGCAAAAGAACAGAAAGAAACATGCTAACATCTCTAGCATATCTGATCTCTGCCTCAGAGACAGATTGCTGTGGTTGCCCTAGGTGAGATTCCAAATCCTAATCCACTTCTTTGGATCAAGTTTTGTGGAACAAATCGTTTGTTTAGAAGGGGTTTAGTTGGAGTAATTCCCGAAATTGATCTCGTCTATGTTCTAAAATCCCGTCAGACTGTGCAGTTCCTGTTTATCATCTTTTTAGGGAATCTAAAGGGCCTCAATAAAAATTTTCATTATTTACAAAGTTCGACTTCAAGACTTTTCTTTTGCCTCTAAGATCACCCTCATAGCCACTTTAGTTTGGGAGATATGATCGTTCTAACAAGGCTATTTTTCAATGACAAGAATTTGGACAGTTTTAGATCTATTCAGTTTTTTGCTTCTTATTGGATGAATTTGTTCTTTTGATCTATACAAAAGTTGTAGGGTTGTTCGTAAGCTTTCTAGATTGTTGTATGTCATATTTTTTAGATGAGTATATCTCCAGTTACATATTTTATAAGCTTGCTGTTCTGATTTGATCGTCAGAAAAGTTCAGTTAAGTTGAGAGATTGTTTACACCATCTTGGATATCTTTTATGCCAAATATTACTATACCAAAGTTGTAGATAATGGAGATTTATATCATCTGATAAATTTTAGGAATTTTTGAATGTATGGTTAAAAGTCAATTAAAATGAGAAGTGACAGAGCTGCTGCCATGAACGGCAGCACAATGGTTGAAGCTTGAACCACGGGTTTGGGGGTGTTCTAGTGTGTTATTTGTTGTTTGTACTTGTTGGTTTGATGATGTTGGTACTGATGTTGGCTTGTAATCAGGTGGTTTGCCTCGGAGCACCCCCTAGCTCTTTTCGCTTGATCGTCTCAGAAGGCAAGTAAGCGTATGCGTTGTGGTCCACATACTTTAGTTCTGCTGTTTGAATTGTCTCCACTAAATTTCAGTATCTCACACTAGCTATATAATCTGACATTTAAAGTACTACTTTACTTTGAAGTATGCTATCTCATATATTGTGGTATTACTATTGAATTATGAAGTATCTGAAGTGCACACATTGCAACATTTGCATTTGCACTTTTTCATTGAGATGCATTTGAAGAAACCGTAGCCGGATTGGTGCGATAAGTACAGGTATAGCAACACACGTTGAAATGAGCAATGCGGTTGCAGCCCTCACTCCCTCTCCTTGGGATGTGTAGGTAGAAATGAAGTCATGCATTGCATTGCACCATTGGCATTGGCATTATGAAGATAAACTTATGAAGTGTTCGATGTTGAAGTATTGATCGATGTTTCCACTACCTAGTTATTTAAAATTTGTGGCTTAATCAAACTATGATTTAAATAGCGTTGTTAAAGCAGTTTGCTTGCTGAGGTTTTCCTTAAACCTCATACGCTTGTTCCCCCATCTCAGGATCATGAGCTTCAAGGATACTTGGCGGGATGGGAGTAGCAACATGAGTGCACACTTGTTGACATATACTTCAAACAAACACTTTTTAGTTGCAACAAATTAGTTGGTTGTTGGAGTCTTTTTGTACATTTTAATAAACACCTGAGGTTTGCTGGTTGTCATTGAAGATGTCTTTGTTTATGTCATCATCTTAGAAAACTTAATTTAATGTTTAACTTAGATGACGTTTGTTGCTTTTGCGTTCTCTAATGATGTCTTCTTGTTAGTTTGTAGTGTCGTAATACTCTAGAAGGTTGTTTTTATTGTTGTTTTCTTCTGGGGTGTTACATGACCACAACTCTGATAGAGACAACATTGTATCTATTGAGTCTATTGTGTTGGAAAATAAACAAAGTGAAAAAATGTGCACTTTAATATTAGTAATTTGTTTTAGATTCACGGCATTAGAAGATATGGGCTACAACATAAGCCACTATAGTTTAAGCTAA